GCCACACCCCGCCCCCCCCTCCCCACCTCTCATTTGGCCACGAGGCTCATGTTCCTACGCGGAAAGTATTGATTAGAACAAATGCCCCCCGCCGAGCTGCAAGAAGAAGACGACCTCCCCCGTCCCCGCCCCCGCCCCCGGGCCAGCCAGGCGTGCTCGGCGTGGTCCAAGGCGTCATTCAAAGGCCATTTTGCCTGATTAGGCGTCTTGTATGGGCCGATTATCACGGGAGAGCTCGTTAAGTGCGGCGCCAAATTGCCCAATAAAGCGCAGGCTTATACTTTTTTCCAAAATATATCGAAAGAAAAGTGACATCAGTGCAAATAATATCAAATAAATGACACAAGTAAGGTACTGATTGACCTCAATCTCGCTTCTATCATTTTTTTTCATGCATATGAATTGAAAACAATGCAACGAAATTTATCAACATGAGAAAAATCGCGTATGTAGAAGAGAGATTTTCGCACCTGCAACGTACGTCAAAATAATGAAACGCTTTGCGCACTTTGGATGGCGACGTCACTTCAATTCGTGCTCGCGCGCTCATCAAGCTCGCCGGCACGCGACCCGACGCTGATCTGTTTGGCCGGGTGGGACCTGCGGACGCACGCTGCAAAAAAATCGCCGATCGGTTGTCGTGACGTGATTCGCCGATGACCCAATGACGTCGCTGATCGGATCCGCAAAATGAGACGCGACGGCAAACAATTTGCTTTGCTCCGTTTAGTGCTGCCATCGTTCATCGTGCGAAAGCTTTCTCATCGTATGGCCTTGGATTGTTTTCCAATATTCGAAAAAGATTTTTGGGGGAGTTGATGGGAGCGAGGCCATAGCCCCTCCCCCTTCTTTTGCATCGACTGAATGCGGCTCAGCATTGGTTTGATTGTCGTCAGAGCGTTTCACTGGGCGGCGATTGGTTGCGCAATTTGGATTTTCGTTTTGAACGGGCACACAACACCCCCCCCCTGTTTTTTTAGGGCTCCGTTTGCCACCACGAGGCGCGGCTACGCTCTAATTTTTGTGATCGCAAAGGCGACGGTGGCTGCTTTTACGGCCCGACTACTTTCAAAGCGCCATGAAAACGGTTGTGGGCTTTCCATCGCCTACGACGTCACGCCGTCGTCCCGGACAACATGACGAGCTCACGCCCGCTTCCATTTACTGCTCAGACTCAACACTCGAGGCTCGAAATGGTCCGTTTCCTTATTCAGTTAGGGGGAGGGGGGGTCGGGGGGGGGGGGTGAAGTGTGAGTGCGAGTTGCGCACCAGGCAGGAGAAGGAGTCGTTCATGCGGTGCTGCAGCGTTTGCCTCTGCAAAAGGGCGAAGAGGCGAGCGTGGTCGAAACGGCTCGGCGCCGACGACACCAGCTCCTCCACGCCCTGACGCTCGGACGGATCCAGACCTGAAAAGAAACAAACGCGCAAACAATTCATTGGGGTCTCCGAAAGCGCGCAACGGTTCGACGCGGCGGACACGTGCAAACGCGCCTTCCTCGTGGGAAAACGATCGCGTGGAAATAAAAAAAACGCGCGAACGCCGCAAAACCAAAAAGCACCAACAGACTCGATTAAAAATGACGTTTCGCTTTCGAGAAAGCGCCACATCAGAAGTTTTGAAGGAAAGCGTAACAGAAATAGTTTGCCTTCCTGTTCGGAAAGTGAGAAAAGCAGGAGCAAGAGTTTCATGTCAGCGCATCGCGAGGCGCCGCGAGCGCCCGCCAGAGCCTGAGCGGCACCGTGTTTGTTCACGGCGAAAGAAAATACACTCCCACGCACCCCGAAAGGGAAGGGGAAAATCTCACGCAAACGTCAACAAAAAGAATTGGCGTATTTTCCTCGGGAAAACGGCAAATTTCGTCGAGGTCGCACGAGCGCCACCCGAGTTGGGCGATCACTTCTAGCATCCAGTATTTTATTGATGATTTTCATTCGTCCATCAAATTCTGGAGATTTTGCGACCTCGTTCCCCGAGTGTCATGGTCCGAGCAGAAGCGCAACTTTTGTCGGCCACGACCGATACACTTCGGCTTCCGAAAATTTCAAGTCACAGAAGACCACACTCACATTAAAGTCGACATTTTCATCAAAATGGATTCGTGCAAAAACTTTGGGGGGGGG